TCAAGAGAGATCATGATTAATCACAGATTGATGATCGATCATGAAAAATGAGATATCGATTTCAATATTTCACAATTGATCATGCACTTTTAAATTGTAATTTACACTTTAAAAAAGTTATAATTTACCTTAAAAAAATTGTAAGGTACCGTAGAACTACCGTAGAACTCCCATTATAAATACAATTGTATGATTGAACATTAAATTGATTCAAAGTTGTAGGTCTAATTTTATCCTTAATAAGTTTGAGTTACGGCCAATTTGATTTGTTAGACCCAATTTTCTTTTTTTTTTTTTTGTAAGTTTTTTGACCCACTTAATAAATGAGTTATGCTTAAGTTTTATTGATTTTGATCCGACACGACTTATAAAACTCAAACTTCACATTACAATAATGTAGGTTTTATAAGTTCATGTTGTTTAAGATATGCTAAAGCCAAAAATGAGGAAAATGAGTGAAAACCAATTTCCCCACTTGTACATCTTATTCAATTGTGCAATCATTTGGGGGTGAAATCATATCATATGCATTATATAATGAATCAATTAAGAGGCACAATGTTCATTCCCTACTCATTATTTTCAATCTTTATAGGTATTAGAGGGAGAAGGTGATTTTCTAGTACTTTTGATGGGGAAGGCATGTTACATCTCAATTCTGAATGGCTGTTGTCAACTCAATTTTCCAATGCACAATTCATAAAAAAAGGGGAAAGTAGTGGGAGACAAGTGGGGTTGATGAAAATCATATAAGAGCAGCTAAGGCAGGCAAGAGATAATGTGATCTTGTCGTGTTAAATTCATCTGTTTGTTTTTTTTTTCAACTAGGAGTAAAATGTGTTATACCTATATCCGATTTAGTGAATCTGCACATAATCTCTTTGAGCTTTTTGACATGATATATTAATACTCTTTTAACTTAGCATAGATTTAATGAAGTAGAATTAGTAATTAGTAAATATGAATTTAAAATGACAAAGATAAGAAATTGATGCGAGTAGTGTCAACATCAAATAAAATGTTCTTAGCCAAGCTTGCATTTTGAGTGCACGTGGGCCAAAAGATGGCTCACAACCTAGGCTTCAGGCTTGGTAAAGGCCCACCTTCTTTGTTCAATATTGTCAGGTTTAGAGTGGAAAAACTTTTATCGTATAAAAAGACCATAGTAGGTTACTCAAAAAACAAAAAAAAGTTGACAATTCGACTCTCTTTTTCATTACCGGATTGGCAGAGGAGATTGGTATATGGAAATACCTCAAATATGAGCCATCTCCATTCTTTATCTAGAGGATTTGTCTAAGCATTCATACCTTATTCGAGGGCATATATATCTTTGAATGCACTGAAAATGTACCAACATGTACCCCGAATACCAAGTTGAACAAATCAATCCTTCTAGAATTGAAGGTTTTTTTTATTTGATCAGTTCTACAATTGAAGTTTAAGGACTGTTTTTAATGAGACACTGCCTTTTCAACTTATCCTTGTAATAATCAGAATAAGATGAAACAAAAAATTGATATAATATAAAAAAAATAATTTTTAATTATAATTTGATGTCTTTATAATCATTAGTCATGAAAATAAAAACATAAAATAAAGTAGTGAAGTAAGCATTTTAACATATGTTACATTGTTATTCAATAAAAATTAAATAAATAAATGAAAGGTAGGTCAATATACGATACTTTCGTCACTGTTAATTTGAGAGAGTACCAACACATATGAAACAAGTAAAATAATGCGAATAAAGTTGCAAGATTTGTGGCAAAAAATGTAGCTTCCAAGGGTGGACTTTTTGTCTAGTGGGCTACCTAACTCTAACTAGGACAGAGACATAACTAAAGAGCCCGGTAGTTCCTCTTTTTGTGGTGGTGAGCTTGAGCTACGTACCTTATATGAAATTCGGCGCAGCAAGTGGAGTGGAGGGTAATAGGCCACCTTCTAATATGATGTTATGTAGCACTTTTTGGCATCCATTTTGTACAATATTAATAGGGCAAGCCTATATGGATTTTATTGTTGTTCTTAACTGACCTTTGCCTGCCTTAAATGATTTGGTTCAACCTCCATCCCCTTTTGTGTCAACTTGTCAAGGTAGTTCTAGTAAGTTTCTTGAAATTATTTTTTCCAAGTCTCAAATTCAACTCAAAAGAAAATTCAATTCATAGATGGGATCAATATATAATATGCACGATATGGTGGACCCACGATTTTGAAGAATGTGTGGTTAAGACCGTTCTAAACATAGAAAAATAAAGAAAAAAGATCTAACTTTGTGTCATCTTAAACTATTGTATCATCATCGCTTACGTTTTACGTATTTCGGCATAATTAACCTAAGAAAATTGTAAAAGACAAACATATGAAAAGATAGCAAACAGCAACAATTGACAGCATCATATATTATAGATCTACCTCATGATTATTGAGCAGTGAGGAATATTTATTAGCATTTCCACAAATTTATCTCTGAGCCTGTGCGTGTCAGAGCTGCAAGGACTCGTCTGGACTTTTAATCGATTATTCCTTTTATACATCAACTTTTACCGAATTATTATGGTTATGGGAATCTTTGCTTAAGACAAGGTTTTATTATCTAAATATCTAATCTGTCTGCGTGGGTGTTTTTATCCTATCAAGGCTAGGCTCGGAGAGAGAGAGAGAGAGAGTGGAGAGGCCTGCCCAGTGCCCAGTGCCCAGTGCCCATGCCCTAGGCTTTTCAGATCGAAACTTGAAGGAGTGGAGACAGAGCCGAGGACAAGTGAAAGAGAGGTAAATGGATAGATAGAGAGAAACAATCATCATTGCTAAAAACCAGATTATTCTCTGCAAGGGGCCACCATGATTCCATAAAGAGAGTGTCACACGTCACCACATCCCCTCAAAATCCCCTCAATCCCTCAATATCTCATGCCTAATCATCACCACCTCTTCACTTATTTATTTATTTATTCACCTCCTAGATTTCATTAATATGATACCAATGTAACGTAATTTCTTTGAGGGAGAATTATTATTGTACACAGCTATCTTTCAGTACAAACATTGTTTTTTAAACATGTTTTTAAATTGTTTATTCCTCTAATACTCCTGTTGTGTTTAGCCATAATTTGTTCCTTGTTTGGTGAACAAATCATACTCATCTTCATAGAGCAAAATGATCAAGTTTGTAATTGTAAAATCGAATACCAGTCAGTCAATACGTCTAGAGAAGTGAAGAAATAAATCTAGTTGACTTCAAGATTGACAGCACCTTATCACCTTGCCAATTAACTACGAAGAACACATCAACTTAATTACAAAGTTTTGTGGGGACACCCCTTTTAAATTTGATTAATTATAGCATAAACTATCAAAATTATAGAAAAACTATACAGAAATCCACAGATAAATGGGGGTCTTGGATAGCATTGGTGGCGTGTGCAGATCACAAGCTTTTCGTGTATATATTTGTAATACAGATTATATTTTTTTTGATAAAAGAACTAAATTTACCGAGAAGTAGAGTTACTAAAAAAAAAAAAACAGAAAAAATAAAAAAGAGAAACATCTATAAGTTGATATAATTTAGATCTATGAACTATCCAACATATTGTAGATTTTTTGCTTTTCTCACTCCTGTGTAGGAGTTTCTTCCCTGAGCTTCACAGCCTTAGAGAGTCATGGATTCCCCTTAGGAGACCAACAAATATACACATATACCCTTTTTATCTGAATTCAAAATCAAACTACGAAGCAACATATCACAAGCTGGGAAGAGAAAAATGGAAAAAAGACATTCTTTTATATTATTATATATAAAAACAAGTACTAAACAATGATCTCATTAGTTTTTCATGGTTTAATATCTATTTGTATCACTAGTGACACAAGTAACCCGGAAAAAAATAAAGAAAAATACCGATAAATAATAATCCAATATACGAAATATAATCTAGAGCTGGAAGGTAGAATGCCTCAATGCTTACTAAAGCAACAAATATTTGCGACATTCAAAAATAAAAATCACTAGTGTTTAAGGCCTTCCCTATATGGAAGATGACTCGAAAGAAATGATAATACCCAAGACCATGATGAACCAAAAAAATACCTAAGACCATGTCTTTATAGCTAGCTACACAGCTGACAGCGCCTATCCGATTAATTTCAATCCAAGATAGCTCAAATAAGAGAATTTGCTTGATGAAGTTTTTGTTTGCAGGATTTCCTCTGACAATAGCCAAATAAAATAAATCCCATGAACACTCTAAAAGCAGAAGATCGACGATGATAGTAACAAGAAGACAAAAAACTAGAGGAAATCCAAAATTCTGTAATCATTCTATGCATGTTCAATCAAACATTAAAGAAAACAAAAGATGCTCATTTACATGTAGTTTATGATAATTATGACAACGAAAGTTAACTAAAAGAGTGGTGATTCAGATTATTGATTAAAAACAAAAGCATATCTATCATCGCCACCATTACGATTACCGCAGTAAATTAAAAAACCCTCTTCATTTTCTGTACCCTCTCATGGTAATTAGTGTATTGTTTATTGCTACACAGAAGCCTAATCAGAAGGACAAATCCATGACTCCACCGTACCTTCACCTCTCGAGGATACATTCTCTAAACCCTTCTCAGCATGGAAGTCTGATGTTGAAGCTGAAGAGTGCAATTTATAGCTGCTGAAACGTTGTGAATTGCCATTATTTACATGGAAAGGACCCAAATGTTCTTGACCTCCATGGTTCAATCTCATTCCCTCTCTCCATCTTGTTGGACTGTTCTCTCTCCTGACATGTGCCCCATCTGAACTTCCATGGCTTGGAAATCCACTAAGGTTGGTGTTGACATTTTCATGGCTCAGACCCAATTCATCAAGAGGAATGCTTGAACTTCCTTGAGACTTAGTTCCAAAAATGGGTGTATTTGATAATGGGTGCTTAAGTTGTGGAGGAAGGCCAGGAGACTGTAGGAGGGACTGGAATGTGAGAATTTGGTTCTGCATGCTCAGTAAATTTTGAGGTGGTTGTTTTGAAAGGCCAATATCAGAGGGTAGTTGGTGGTAGTTTTGTGAACTCAAAGTATTGGATATACCAGCAATGGAGGTAGAGGTACTAGAACCCATATTACTAGCAGGAATAGCATCAACCATATTAGAGTTCAACAATGGTGATGAAGAAGAAGAAGAAACAAATGGTGATATCTGAACCTTCTGAGCCGAGGGCCGTAGAGGATAGAGAGGCCCGAGTGTGTCTAAATGTCCAGACCTCATGGTTGAGCTTGAGCCAAAGAGATCAAGCCGGCGAGAGTATGGAGATGCCGAGAACGGAGCAGTGGGAATACCGGTAAATTCTTGCACCATTTGCCGGAAATTGGATGTGTCTGTGGTAAGAACAGTGGTTGGTGCTCGCCGGGAAGCTCTGGTGCGCTTCTTCGGGTTCTTGACAACGTGGGTCTGATCAGGCGGCTGTGAAGCTCTTGCTGCATTTCCATCAACAGATTGCAAAGTCATGGATGGTGAGCTTGAGAATGATCCATGGCCAAGACCTTGAGAACCTAAAACAGACTGGCTTGATGATGGTAAGCCTGCTAAGTTTCCGAATTCTGTGAAGTTGGCTTCAGATCTTAGGCCTCTGGGCCAGACTAAATCGAGATTGTTGTATAGAGGATTTGTGTTTGGGTTTGTGGGTGATTGCGAAAAGGCTTCAAGATTATGTGATGGTGGATCGAACATGGTGGGTGGATGACTTTGATGGTGAGGAAGAGACTGTGGGTTTGAGATTGAACTTGAACCATAGTGGCCTGAAGGATTGAAGAAAGGAGAGATCGACTCTGTCCTTGAATCATACTCTTCATCACCACCACTTGATGATTGCATACTACCACTGTTTCCAGAATCCATAGCTTTGTGGTGAGAGAAAAAGTGAAGAACAGGAAAGGTAAAAGCCTAGTGACCACTTGTGAAACCTGCAAAGAGACAGTGATAGTTGCAAAGTTTGAAGAAAGAAGAAAAAGGGAATCTGAAAACTGCAATTACGAGATTACAATGAAGTGTGAAGAGATATCTTCCATTAAAGCTTTCAGAAAGTACCCATATCTTTCACTTTCACACTCTGATCTAAAATGGAGTCGGTCTCTTCTTTCTTTGTCTCTCTCTCTTAGACCAAAAGTGTCTGTAGTCTGTACAGGACCGCTAAAAACAACTGAACAGATCCAAGAAGAGAGATTTTGGTAGTGAAGATTGATCAAATTGGAATTTGGTTTTTTTGGGTTTCTTTACCCTTCTCCCTATATAATCATCAACTAGGGTTTTGGAGGAAAAGAAAAAGAGAGATGAGAGGAAAGGTAAGGTTATTTAACCATCGTGCAAGCTCAAAAAGAGAGGCTGTTTCAGTTAAGTTTCCCACTTAGAAAGATTTACTTTTGAGATACCAGCAGCGTTGTGGGGTCGCCATTGGAGGGGATGAAAGAAGCTGCCGGTAGGTGGCAACGGGTCAAACTCAGAGAGAGGAGAGAGAGAGAGAGAGGGAGGGAGAGAGAGGATGGTTGGCGAGGTTGATATTGAGTGTGAAGGGAAGAAAAGGATATGAGAAAAAAGATCCAAAAAATAAATGAAAAATTTATCAGAAAAAAACAAAAGTAAAAAGGGGAAAAGAATAAAGTTCTATAAGGTGGGAAGCCAACTCAATCGTCTTAAGGTGGAGAACATTTTCTCAAGGTGGCTAAAGGTGGTTGGGGAAGACAGAAAACTAGAGAACAATGCTAACACCGCCACCGCCACCGCTTTTATCACCGTCATTGTCATTATCACTGCCACCACTATGCACGGCGGTCTCTATGTAATAATGGTACTATTATTACAATTATTCCAATTTGCACCAATCATACCTAATAATCAAATAAACATGTTTTATTGATGAGAATAAATTCTTTATATGCAATCAATTAAAACTTGACACTTACACAAAATTTGAAGTCAATTAACATTGGTTTGGGTGTTTGTGTAGTTGCCCCGTAAATAATTTATTTATTTTATTGATTACTCAAAATTAAAATATTTCTCTCAATTTTTATGGGTTCGGTGTGGGGAAGGCAAGGTTGAAATTAATTTATTGTCAACAATTTAAAACGAATTTAATACATTAATTCAGTTATATGTGAAATTAAATAATGCAGATAAATAAAAGAAAAAAAATTATCTATCTCAGCTTTTGACCAAGTCAGAACTGCGAAACTTGATAGAGATATTCAAAATATAATGTCTCGCCTCAAGGCCATGATTGAGCTACATAAGGGAATCTTTTACCATCCACCTCCTCTGAAATAAGAATAAAAATCAATATTTTTTTTTCTTATTCTCTGTTGAAAATCTTACGCATGCACATACGAGTCCGGAGATTCAGGTTCATGTACACTAAATTCTTTTATTAATTAGTATTTGAATATTGCCCCATAATCTTTATATGATCTTTGGGTATATTTTTCAATATATATATATATATATATATATATATATGTTGATGGATATAGATAGATTAGTTCAACCCCTTTCTAGTTTGCTACAACAAACAAGACAAAGATATTTGATTCTTGAATAATTAATAAGCTTTTTAGATAAGAGATTTCTCCTTTTTGATTTAAAAATACATGCATGCATGTGTATTTGCATAATGTTTGTTAGAGGATATACTTCTTTGTCATGGGAAGAGTTATTTATTCCCTCTTTTACGCGGATTGGCCAACCCTACCAATCAAAACCCAAACCCTCAAGATCCGAATTCTCTAACGTCTGCTAGGAATATAAAATAATTATGCCCAAAATATGTCTACTTTGATTATTTCTATTCTTGTCCAAGTGTTAAGAGGGTCAGATCATATTCCACATTACCAACACGACGAGAGTCGCATGATTAAGATTAACCCTCACTATTCCATATTATCCTCACCGACTTCAGAACCTCATTTCTAGTCATAGTCCTTCAACAACGAGTTGTCGTTAATCCAATTAATTCAATAGTACGTAATGTTTCGATATATTCTAAAGTTTTTATAGAAAAATCATTAAAATAGTTGATTTTCTTAATTTATACTTACAATTCAGACTTCGTAAAATCACATGCATCATTTAAGTTTAAAGTTTATCCAATTGAAAAACTTGAACTTCAAGGCATATGAATTTATACTCCCATCCTTCGCTAACCAATCCGTGCGGATTGAAAAAAGTCTGTTTATATTTCGGCCAACTTCAAAGTATCCGGCGCCATGTTTGACCCTCTTTTTACTAGTTATTGAACCTTACGGTGTGGCAACTTTAGGTTGGCCCAATCGTGCCACTTGATTTCTTCCACGTAATAATCTAGTGTTTAATAATATGGGTCCCAGATCTGTTATAGAGAGACCGACTTTAAAGTCCCAGATTCGAATTTTGTCGTTCTTTCAAAAAAAGTTCATGAGAGTGGTGCTATGCAGGTCCTGCGTCGGAGGAGATACCAACTCTAAAAGTTAGGCAGGTTCGGAACCAGTGGACGGGGCAGCTTACCTAGACTAATTCGTACTAGGAGACATGGGATTTGGTTGGCTGATAGTTCAGCTAATCCTGAATTCTAGTCAAGGTGAGAGGGCTGCTTCATTCCCATTTATTCTTAATTTTATTATGATTCACACATTTTCTCATCTTTAACAAGTGGTCCAAGGGGTTTTTTTGTTCCTTTGAAAGAATAATGAAAAAAGATATTATGTCTCCGATTTTCTTATCATTGTTTTGATTGTTTTGAGTTTTTTCCTTGTTACCTAAAAACAATTACGGTCTCTAGAAGTAGTTGACGAATCTTTTCAAAATACATGTAAATTATTCGTCACACAGGCATCAGGATGAATTGCGGTGGAAGGCCACAAGTGGAAATTTGTCGTTAGAACCTCTATGTTGCCTTGTTGATTCTTGGCCAACTTTTCAACAATTCTTTTGATATATATAAGGAGTGAAATCTCTTACAATACATTTTCTTTCCACCCACCGCAACCCTCCCTATTCCACCGCAGTGCAGCCCCTAATAGGAAAAGGAATCATGAAAGGAAAAAATAAAAATATCACCATGGTTTTGGGAAGTACAAAAGGTTTAGGTAGAGAGAACTTAATTTCCATTCATTTTTCTTTTTGAAAAGAGATTATAGTACATCAAAAGGAGAGGAGGAATTGATGGTCCCACACGTAATACAAAGCATACATTCTTAGGTGAGTAAATTAATTGGCAGGTGCTGAAGAATTACAATTCCCTTCCAGTGCTAGTGCACCCTTGTACATAATAATAGAAGGCTGCAATGGAAACACAAAGATGTGTCATTCCATCATACAAGCCCATACTACCTAAGATTTCCCTTGCTCATAGGGTGTGCATGGCGCAAAGTCACAGTATTGGTCCTCGATTCAAGAGTTATTGATTATATTGGTCGTAGGATTTCGGAATAATATTAGACAATACATATAAAAAAATAGACATAACGAAAGATTAATGCCAAGGCATCTTGAAATTATGAATGAGACTATTTGACCGAGTTGTCTGTGAGTGAGACTCATGTGGTTATACATGTACCGAGTCAAATATGATTCAATCAAATCAAATTGATATTGACCGATACTATGAACTAGATACATATATGGTTTATAAGAATCAATACTCACCCCCCTTAGCTTTTATAATTTGATCATGATCCAAGCTTAAATGCATTTACATGAAGATCTAGTATCAAGAACCTCTGCTATTTTGGAAGAAGTAGGGGAGGAGGAAAATATACCCCACCCCACTTCCCATCTGTTAAAGTTGAGGTATGGAAACAGACCAACAGGTGACGAGCAATGATACATGGTATTACCGACAAAATTTATTGGAATATAACATGAGCCCCCGTGGCCTAGTTGGCATCACCTGTTACCAGGGTGGTTAAGGGCCTTATGGTCCATTCCACTCAAAAGACTTTTGAACTGGTCTAATTTTTCTAGCCCGTGGGTAGGGAGGGAGGGAAAACTAGATAAGGCCGAAAAAATGGCCGTGTTCTGTTTTTGCATGGGCTTGGGCCTGAGGTAACGGCCACCGACGCAGCCCATGGCAGTATTTTTTACATATGTAATATATTCTTAATTTTTTAATGTTATGATTGAAAATATATCGACCCATAGGCAAGCATAGATGTAGTGTTACCCTCTTAGCTTGTTGGCTTGACATTGACACGTGGTTATTTCGCCTAAAGAGGTCCATGCTTTATTCAAATTGGATTGTGCTTGGTGAAGCAAACATTGAGTCCAAAGTTGGCTTCCTAAGGATTTGGGCGTGTACTCAGTTTGATTATAAAGTAATTTGACAAAGACTCAAGTGAAATGCAACGACTATACCTTTGTCTCAAGTTATTATGACTTCTCTGCTTAGAGTATGTTTATTGCTGCTAATAGGGATTTGCTCACTAATGCTATTATAAGGAGGCTTTAGTCCAATTTTCCTAGGACCCCAATGCCCCTAAGCCTTGACACACCAAAACAAGGTAGGACCTTAACAAATGCTTGCAATAGGTGTAGGTAAGACTTTCCAAAGTTTTAGACCCAATATATGGGGCAGATGATGGGTGAGATCTATTGTTGGGAAGCCTCATGCATGGGCACGTTGGACAAAACTAATGGTTGATTGAAACCCCATGCATGGCTGAAGAAGGCATCACATGCATGGGCATGTTGGACATGACTAGTGGCTGATTGAAGCCCCCCATACATGGAGGAGGAAAAAAACTGATGTATGGGCACCTTGGGCATAAGCAAGCAAACGCTAGTCAGTAGGCTCGATTTGTAGGGCATTGCTAGCTCGGAAGGCCAAGCCATGGGTGCGCATGGCTTGGCATGGAGGCAAGCAAATCAAGTGATGTGGGCTCACAATGACGGCATGTGCACATCATGGGAGGTGGTTTCGAACAGTTGAGACATGTGCATTATAGGTGATGACAGTTTCAAATGGTTGCTAGTATGTGAATGGCATGCAGGGCGGTTTTGAACAAAATGTTAACATGTGCACAACATGAGGGAAGTTGCTAGCATGTGCACATAACATGTAGAGCAGTTATAGGCAGTTCCTAACTTGGTCAGCCAACAGTTGTAACTGCTCCCCTGCCATGATCAGCACATTGTAGGAGTTGTAGAGAGACTCAGCCATGATCAACATGTTGTGTTCTTTTTGGGCGAATCTGACTAGCGTCTTGCATTGCCTAAGAGGTTGAGACTGTAACAGCCACTTTTTATGCTATTTATAGGCATGCTAAGGTTTGCAGTGCAACCAAGACATTTTGAGCACATTTAGTAAGTAGACCCTTAGTTGGTGTCCTTTAAACTTATTGAGAAGTAAAAGATTTAGTCATTTGGCCTGTAATTGGGAGTGCCTACTGTGAATTTGTTGCTTGCCATTATTCTGTTCATTGTGTGTTTTTGTAAGCGATTGTAAGTATTGACTGAAACAAAGTGTGTATCTCAGTGTCATCACGAAACA